CCCGCCCCGCCCCCACCCCGGGGCCTCCTCCCGCCTCGCCGCCGCGCTACTCCGCTGCCCGGCCCGAGCTCTCCGCGCCCCTCGGCCTCAGGAGCAGCGCGCCCCTGGTGACTTCTGACACCACGCGTCCTCCAGTAAGTGACAGCCGCTGCCTCGTTTCACCATTATTTATTTCTTTCTCCCGCAATGCGTCCCAAGTCTCGCCCACACCTGGGTAGTTTCAAAACTATTCAACTCGGCGACTGGTCCGGCGCCGGAGCTGCCCGCGGCGGAGTCTGGGGAATGTCAGAGACCCGCCGGTTGCCGTAGGGCACGGGCTGCGGCCGGAGTCGCAAGGGTGGAAAGCAGTCCTCCAGGCACGACTTGGCTCCACATTTGCCGAGCGCCCGCGGCGAGTTGGGCGGGGAGCTGACGGGGGCAGGCGGGCGGGCGGGGCGTGTCTTAGGGCTCTGGAGGGCGTGGCTCCCGGAGGGGCGGGGCGGCGGTTTGCGGGCGGGAATTCCCACTGACCCAGCTTCAAGTTGGCGCTTGTGCGGCCTCTGGTTTTTCTTGTTGGAGGGTCACTTTAGTTAGGAGAATAAAGTAACACAACTTGACTTTATTTATTTTGTCCTCAAATATTCAGTAAGAAAAAGGGGAAAGGACTTGAAAGTTGTAAAACATTGCCACCAGCCTGTATCTGGGTGGGCACGTTTATAGGGTTAGCAAACTGCTTAGAAACATTTGATTGGTCAATTGGGCCCAGATATTGAAAGTAAATGCTATTTTTTTTAAAAGATGCTCTTTCAAAAAGACCAGGCGAAGTTTAATCTGATCTTAATTTGAACCATAAATTCTGCAGCTGCCCTCTGCCTGCCGTATGTGGAGCTGACTTTTAAATTGCTTTCCAAATTTAATACGCTTTTATAGAATTTTAGATTGTCTTAGAGCCACTTCTCGCAGTCCAGATTGTTTTTATTAGCGAAGGCCACTTCGTGAAAATACTGTATGATTTAGTTGCTCCTTCTCAAGAGCTTTTTCTGCTTTACATTTAGCTGAATTTATATTAACTAACCCAGACAAAACACTTATCAGTGTAAGTGGTCACAGTTTATTTTCACGAGTTCTCTTGGATATGCGTATTCTTGTCTCTTAATCTCACATTGGCATCCTGTAGGTGTCAGGATTCTTGACCTAACTGCTGTATACCCACCTTACTCCTTTCACACCTTCTAGTAGGTTCCCAGAGAAGGCAAAATATTGCTAATAGCACGTGTAACGCATGTTTAGGATGCTAAATGACATGTTAATGTCATAACAATGTCTGTAACAATCTTTCTATTTGTAGAGTCTAGTACAGTGTGTTGGTTGAATGCAATAAATCAAAGGACACATCCTCCAGTGCTCTGTTTCCAAACCAAGCAAGAGTTTCTTAGATGATCACTTTGGACAGTTTATTTGTAACTGTCTTGCCACATCTCAGATTGTCACCCATTTAAATTTAATTCTTCTCTCCTTTGTGCTCCCATTTGTATTGCATTTTTACCACTGTTAGAGCACTGTTTCATTTGATCTGTTCCTTGGCTCTCTTGAGGACATAGAGAACCTTTTATTGTGCTTTTTTCATTTCCCAAAACAGTGCCTTGTACATGGTAGATACCTGAACCTATCCATGAAAACATAATGGAGATAGACTCTTTTAATCTGTAGATATGAATTTTTAAATATATATTGCCACCATGTAATATCCTGTATTTACTTTCAATCTTGGTGATTTATCACTTAGAGACCAATTTCCTTTCCTCAGTTTAATTATCTAGTTTCTTTGTATTCTTGACAACTGTTTTTTCTGAAGCCAGTAGGTTTCCTAGGTAAGGAAGAGAAAATAAGAACAAATTCACCTCAAAATGTAAATTTCTAAAACCAGTCTGTTAACTAAGTCATAATGGCTACCCATCTGAGCAGTAGTGTGTGTTCCATTTATGTAGCAGAGTATAGATGAATGTTTGTGTGTGTGTGTGTGTGTGTGTGTGTGTGTGTGTAACTAGGTTGAGGGGACAGAGAAAGAAAGAGAGAGAAAGGTATGTTCTTTATGTGAATAAAACCTAGAGCCAGGATACTTGCAAAGAACTCTACCAGGAATAACTTAAACCAGAAGACTGGCATTTAAGATTTTATACTTGAGAGCAAATGCGTGTATGGAATGTGATTAAAGAAAAGGCAAGGGCCTGTTTCATAATATAGGGTTAATGAGGAGGTTTTGGGAAAAGATATGGAAAAGGAGGCATCGGACCATTTTGGATTTGGATAAGCAGAACAAACATAATTCTTTAACTTAGAATTAACTTCACTCAAAAAATAAATTCACTCAGTGACTGACAAATAATTCATATCTAATAAAGGTTTGAATTCAGATGATAATTTGAGATTAGAGTATGAGCCAAAGTCAGAATGATTTACAACCAATCTTTTGTGTAAACTAGTGTATAAGTCTAGAAAATTAAAGGTCTAATGCAGTACTTTCTCTTTTTTTAGTTACTTGGATCCGAGATGAATAGTGATCAAGTTACACTGGTCGGTCAAGTGTTTGAGTCCTATGTTTCAGAATACCATAAGCACGATATTCTTCTCATCTTGAGGGAAAGAGATGAAGATGCTCATTACCCAGTTGTGGTTAATGCCATGACCCTTTTTGAGACCAACATGGAGATTGGGGAATATTTCAACGCCTTCCCGAATGAAGTACTAACTGTTTTTGATAACGCACTGCGAAGATCAGCCTTGACGATTCTCCAGTCCCTTTCTCAGTCTGAGAGTGTCTCCATGAAGCAGAATCTTCATGCCAGGATATCAGGTATCACTTAAGGATTTTTACTGCCATGTTATTCTTTGAGAAGATGTTGAAAAATCCCAACATATATTGAATCCAAGCACTAAGAAATAATTGATGTTTATACTTCAAAATATTATGCATTGTGTAGTTGGTCACTTTTGGAGCAGAATAATGATTTTATACTGTTTTCTCTGGATATTTTGGAAGGCTATGGGACTAGCCATGCCAACTGAGGAGAGGGCGAAAGTGTGGAGACACAGTGTATTTGTATCAAGGTATACACATACGTATATGTGTAAAAAATTATAATTCAGTTTTCTGAGTTTTTGTGACTACTGACAGTAATAGAATTGATAATACAAAGAATTGGAAAAATGGTATATACTACTCAGTGATCTTCAAAACTGTTTTAGGAAATTCTTTATATATATGTTTTACTGAAGTATAGTCAGTTTACAATGTTGTGTCAATTTCTGGTGTACAGCATAATGCTTCAGTCATACATGAGCAAACATATATTTTTTTTCATATTCTTTTCACCATAGGTTACTACAAGATATTTTTTAAATTCGTTATTTTTGTATATCAAGTTTAACATTGTGCAGGCCACCTATTAGGCGCTCAGTAACTTTCTGTTGAATGAACGACAGCTGAAGCATCCTAACATTAAAGAAACTGCTGTGGAGCAGTCCGCAATTTGTGATGTCAAAGCTGTGTCCTTGAATTACTGCAATCTGT